AGGTAGTTGACATCTCAAATATATAGAGGATATTACATGGGCGGCGGGCAGAGATACGGAATTTATCTCAGTTCGAGGTTGAAAAGATCTCTTGAAGATATTTTCAGCTTGAAGATATTTAAAACAGCGAAAAAAGTATGTACCATGATTTGTTAAAATAAATGTCTTGGTTCAGTTTGAAATGAGATTTCAGTTGTTCTTTTACCTTGGAAAACGCGCGCAGTACTGGTAAAACAGTTATTTGTGGTAAAAAAAAATACGATTCTTGTGGTATGTCCTCTTATTTACCACAATTGGGATCATCTCATCGTCTATAGTTTGTTTTAGAGGCGTACCACGCGAAACTATCGTAAATTTGTTAAATTACATATGAAAGCAAATTATGTGTAAAATACTTWTTTATCTTAYTTGCACTATATAGAGAAACCTCAAATGCGTTATTTTCTCTAGTGAAAATAWCAACTGTACGTAATGGAGAAATATAAATATTTTATAGATAAATCTATGATAAAAAACGTTTAATTTATTGTTGTGAAACTTAAGATTATGCTTGAATAACGAACCATTAATTAACATTTTTTTAAATTATTTGAATTCCTAAGATCTGTTGTGGTGACTGAGAAAMATATAATAAAATAAAATAAAATAAAGTAAAATAGCGAGACTCAATTATGCACCCCATATATTAGGTCAGAGCGGTCACAATTTTTGCAAATGACTGTCTCTAGATACGACGAAAACATAAYCACGTATGTACTGAATGCCTTCTCTGATCGTCAGACAGTCCAATATTAGTGCTGAATCAGAGCTAAGTCGGCCGTTGAAACGACAGTTTTTTATACATACGGAAACAAAATTAATGATATTTGTAGGTGAATAGACTAGAGTGCAAATACTAACTAAGACCTAAATCAATCTATGTCGAGCTTTAGAAATCTTAATATAAAGCGCTATACTGTACTAGTGAATTTTGCGAATTCCTTTGTTTTCTATTGTCTAATCTATTGTGTCATTTATTATTATTCACGATTTTAGAGAACAAATACTAAATGTGTGCAACACTTTGCACTATTTACTACAAACTAGTGTTAATTAAACAGTAGAAAACAATAGAATTAGCATAATTTAGCAGTATTTAGTGGTATTTATATTGCACAGTTTTAGTGTTTGTACTCTAGTCTGCATCTTTGGTTGCTTTTTTAGCATTTGCACTCTACCGTTGGCGAAAATTGTGCAGTGAACATATGGAATATTATATGATATTGGACCAAACTAAACATTTATATTTCGATTTGAAACTGATATTTTCAGTAACGACCTAAAATCATGCAAGGAGTTTTAACGTAAACAAACATAACAAAAGCAAACGAAACTACACAGTCCACAAGTACATGTTAAATACCTACAGCTGTAGGAATCCTAAAGTCAATTGTAAGTTAAGCTTTCGAAAGAGAAATTATATTTAATATGGCGCACTCCAGATCACGTCCTGTCTACGTAAGAATTATAAAAGCAATTTTGCTTCGCAAAGCATTGAACGTTGGCTCTAACAACGGATATGTGATGATATTTAACTTTATGCACTGAAATATCAAAGTATATCAGTACTACAGACTATATCTTGCAAAACAAAACTTAGAAGCAAAGGTAGCTTAAGGTTGATTTAAACTCAAACATCATACCTGGTGTTATCGTTGCACCATTCTTATTCTCCGCGACGAAGTCTACTAGCGAAGGCTTACAATATGTTGTGATCAAGGTAGCGTTTACTTCCTTATCGATTTGCACCAATCAAAGTCCTCTCATTCGACACAAACAAACACTCGATGACATATTTGCATTCCTCATTTGCGCTTGACGTCAACAGCCCCGAGACCTATAGGTTTTGGATTTTTAAGTATTTTATATCAAAATATTCACAAAAGTGCGGGGATTTCAAATTCACTTCTGTTTTTTTGACAGGTTCTGTTTAATTTCAACGAGAGCGAGTTTTGACCCGGGGTTTGTCACGTAATTTCTCTTGTAAAAGGCCTCCAATTGCGTACATTCAACTCAAAAAGTACGGTGAATTTTTTCACTGAAATTTCACCAAAAACATTTTATAGGTTCCCTGAATAGCTGGTTCAACTGTATCCGTATTTGTTTTTTGCCTAGATAACTGATATTTTGAGAAAATGCTCCAAAACCACGTTTTTGAGACGAAAAATGTATGTAGCCATGTGGGGGGCGTGAGTCTAAAAATATGGCCTGACTATTTGTTAGGGACAGGGCCAAAACAATTGGCCAAAGTAGGGACCCCGTTTTTCCGAAAAGGTTGGTGGGTTCCGTACGGTACCTACCCCCCTATATTGAAAAATGTCTTAAAGACCCTGATTTTTCTTTGGATGATGGTGGCGGTTTGAAGCCTCCCCAAATAATCTGCAATAATGCTTTAGTGGCGGTTCACTACCTCCCCCTTCTAACGTTTGTTTTTGTTTCAGTTGTGGCCTCTGTCCTCCCATTCCGTATGGTACCTACCCCCTATATTGAAAAATGCCTTTGGTGGCGTTTCACTACCTCCCCCTTTTAAATCATAAAATAAGCCACACTAGCAGGGGATTTGCCATCGTGGCTCAGTGGTTGAAGCATAGGCGTACTGATCAGGAGGCCACGGTTCGAATCCCAAGAGATATCATATACTTTTTTTTTCTTTTTTTTTTGTTCTTTTCTATTATTTTTATTATTATTAATTACTTTTTCCATCAATTTACTCCGTAACGGTGAATTAAACAACTGAAAGTTGGTTCAATTGAAACCCCGACCAAATATATACGGCACCATTGTTTTTATTGTTTCCGTAGCGGCTCTAAATAGTGTTATTGATATCTAACCACACAATGAACTATATATCACATATTAAACACACGTAAAATGATTTTCGAGACGAATTTAATCGTCGGATCGGCGAGTCTTCCTCATGCTTCCTTT